CTTCGTGCAGTGACGTGTTTTTAGCTTTACAAGGCTTTGTTAGTTCTAAATACAAAGATATTTGCACAACTGCATAATGCTTTGCTTAATGATTCTGTTAAATGTAACTATACGCTTAGGAGTTATAATGGTATAATTATAGGGGAAAAACATTAACCAATAAAGCTGTTGAGGGAAAAGCACTCAAAAAATCACAAAGCAACTTAGAAATTGGCTGTATATCTCAGGTAAATTCACACAAATGGCAATCATTCTATAGAAGAAGAGCATAAGAATCCCACTTATAATGTTATGGATAAGGTTTTTTGGATTTTTTTTAAATACTATCAGATACTATTAATAGGAAAGGAGGTTAAGTTTTGAAAATTAATTTTATGAAAATGGCAACCACAATATATAAAACAGCTAAAAGCTCCCAGATTCAGATATGAGACAGCTAATAGCAGTTTTTTGGTGAAGAAGACCTCTTAACTTTTCTTAATTCATTTTATCTGGTTTTTGACCAAGTCCTAGGTTGAAACAGGGTAGTGAGCTAGTGTGGTAAGAAAGGTTGCTCTATTCAATTTTATTATCAAATGGATATTTGTATGCATTTTTGGAATACACAAACTTTGAAGAGGTACCATTTAAACTGTTTAAATAAAAGAAATACATAAATTCTGATCCCTGAGCAAGAAGAGTGTGAAGAGGGAAACAGGGAAGTATATATTCTATAGACAATGAAAGGAGATGTCTTTTAGAACATTCAGGCCAAATTCTGTTCTCGTATGCACATATGCAAATACAAGTCCCCTCTAAAGTCAGCAAGAGGATCTGAGGGTACAATTTGACCTGTAACCTTTCTAAAGGAAAGGATCTCAAATATTCCATCTTTAGCAGACAACAGAATGCAAGGTCATTCCCCATCCACATCTAACATATCACATATAGAAGGATCTCAATTCTATCCAACAGTGATGGGTTGAGTAGATGTCCTTTACTATTCAAGCACCATGTAAGTGGGTTATCTTGCTTATGGGCTCCTCCTACAGGCTTTTGCTCCCTGAGGAAGCTCCTTAGCTGGTACATAGCAATAAACAGAGTTTTTAAACAAAAAAGATAAACACAACCCCTCCCCCCCGCCCTTGTTGTCCTATCC